GACCAACTTACTGTGGCCCTTCAAATGATCTTCCCCATGAGGTGGAATGAAGAAAAAGACCACCCATTTTGTAGGAGGTGGAGATGCTGGTAACAGAGAGGACCAGATCAACAGGCTTATTAGAAGGATGAACTAAGGTATCTGCCATGGTCATTTTTGTAATCTCGTTGGTTAATAAACAGTAACTGCTTTAAAATTGAAAAAAAAGAAGAAGAAGAAGAAGAAACAAACACAGGGAGGCTGCCAAATTGAGGAGGCAAAGAAATATATGGCCCATATGAAAAGACAGAACAAAACCCCAGAAAAAAAACTAAATGAAATGGAGATAGGCAACTTGTCAGATGCCGAGTTCAAAACACTGGTGATCAGAGAACTCCTTGAGTATGGCCACAAAATAAAGGAAGAAATGAGGGAATACACTAAGTGAAATAGAGAAAAATCTACAGGAACCAACAGTGAAGGGAAGGAAGCCAGGATTCAAATCAATGATTTGGAAAAAAAGGGAAAAATAAACATTCAACCAGAACAGAAAGAAGAAACAATTAAAAAAAAATGAAGAGAGGCTTAGGAATGTCTGGGACAACTTTGAACATACCAACATCTGAATCATAGGGGTGCCCGAAGAAGAGGAAGAGCAAGAAATTGAAAACTTACTTGAAAAAATAATGAAAGGAAACTTTCCTAATTTGGTAAAGGAAATAGACATACAAGTCCAGGAAGCATGGAGAGTCACAAACAAGTTGGCCCGAAAGTGGACCACACCAAGACACATCATAATTAAAATGCCAAAGATTAAAAATAGAGAATCTTAAAAGCAGCAAGAAAAAAGGAGACAGTACCTACAAAGGAGTTCCCATAAGACTCAGCTGATTTCTCAAAAGAATCTTTGCAGGCTAGAAGGGACTGGCAAGAAGAATTCAAAGTGATGAAAAGAAAGGACCTACAACCAAGATTACTCTATCCAGCAAAGCTATCATTTAGGATGGGAGAGCAGATAAAGTGCTTCCCAGACAGGGTAGAGCTAAAGGAGTCACCAAGCCTTTATTACATGAAATGTTAAAGGGACTTATTTAAGAAAAAGAAGATCAAAACTATGAATATTGAAATGACAACAAACTCAAAACTATCAGCAACTGAATCAAAAAACAAAAACTCACCCTGGCTGGTGTGGCTCAAGTAGACTGAATGCCAGTCTGTGGTCAGAAAGGTCGCTGGTTTGATTCCCAGTCAGGGCATATGCCTGGCTTGCAGGGCAGGTCCCCAGGTGGGGGCATGTGAGAGGCAACTGATTGATGTATCTCTCACACATTGATATTTTTCTCCCTCTCTTTCTTCCTCCCCCCCCAAAAGTAAATAAAATCTTTAAAAAAACCCAACAAACTAAGCAAACAACTGTAACAGGAACTGAATCATAGATACGGAGATCATTTGGAGGGGAGGAGTGGGGGGGAGAATGGGAGAAAATGTGCAGGGATTAAGAAGCATAATTGGTAGGTACAAAATAGATGGGGGAATGTTAAGAATAATACAGGAAGTGGAGAAGCCAAATAACTTACATGCATTACCCATGGACATGAACTAAGGGGGGTGGGGATTGCTGGAAAAAAAGGAGCTATAGGGTGGAAAGGGGCAAAGGGGGAAAAATTAGCCCAATTGCAATAGCATAATCAATGAGATACACTAAAAATAAAAAAGGAAAACAAAAAGAGTGGAAGTGAAATGGAGAGTAGAAACAATTGAGAAAATAAGTGAAATCAAAAGTTGAGATGAACAAAATAGCCTCTCTAGCTAAATTGACACCCAACCCCCAATACACTCAAAGAGAGAGAAGATACAAATTACTAAAATCAGGGTGAAAAGGGGGACATTACTTGTAGTCCTTACAGAAATTTAACAAGATGGTGAGTGAATACTAAAAACAATTAAATGCTAACAAATTAAATATCCTAGACAAAATGGACAAATTCCTAGAAGCACACGAACTGCCAAAACTGACTTAAGAAGAAACAGGAAATCTGAATAGAACTATAGCAATGAAAGAAGTTGAAGTATTAATTAAAAAAAAAAAAATCCTCAAAGAGAAAAACCCAGGGCCTTCACAAACATTTACAAAAAACAGAAGGGAGAAAACACTTTCCAATTCATTTTACAAGGGTAATATTAATATTACTCTGATATTAAAACCCAGACAAAGATACCACAAGAAAATAAAACTATGGATAAATATGGCAGGATTCATCCCAGGAATGCAAGAGTAGATCAACATAAACAAAGTCAACAACAAAAAATAGTCAATGCAATAAAACATATTAATAAAATACAGGACAAAAATTACATGATACCCTGACTGGTGTGGTTTAGTGGGTTGGGTGGCGTCCTGCAAACCGAAAGGTCACCAGTTTGATTCCTGGTCAGGGCACATGGCTGGGTTCTGGCCAGGTCCCTGGTAGGGGGCACACAAGAGGCAACCAATCAACCTTTCCCTTGCACATTGCCCTTTCTGTCCCTTTCCTTCTCCCTCCCTTCCCTGCTCTCTAAAAATAAATAAATTTTAAAAATTGAAAAAAAAATTACATGATTATTTCAGTAGACCCAAAAAGCTTTGACAAAATTCATTTATTTCTCACCTGAGGATATGTTTATTCATATGTTTATTGTCACCTATATTTGCCCTAGCCATACCGGTCAGGGCAACACACTTTTTGTTTTATAAAACACTGAACAAACTAGGAATAGGAGGGTACTTCCTCAAGCTGATAAAGACTTATCTATGAAAAACCCACAGGTAATATACTTAATGGTGAAAGACCAAATGCTGTTCCCCTAAGACCAGGAAGAAGGCAAGGACGTCTGTTCCCATCATTTCTAATCATCATTGTACAGAAGGTTCTAGCTAGGGCAGTTAGGCAAGAAAAAGAAATAAATAATTAGAGCTAATAAATGAGTTTATCAGAGTTATAAGTTAGAAGATCATGATATAAAAATTAGCTGTATTTTTATATATTAGAAATGAACAGTCTGAAAATGAAATAAAGACACCACACTGTTAGTAATAGCATCAAAAATGTTAAAATACCCAGGATTAAAACCAAAGCAGTACAGGAGCTGTTACAGTGAAAACTATAAAACATCATTGAAAGAACTTAAAGCAGACTTAAATAAGTGGGAAGACATCCAGTGTTCAAGGGTCAAGACTTAATATTACTAAGATGGCAATACTTCCCAAATTGGTCTACGTGTTCAGTGTAATACCTTTCAAAAATCCCAGATTTTTACAGTAATTGACAAAATAATCCTAAAATTCATGTAAAAGTGCAAGGGACCCAGAACTGCCAAAATGATGTAGAAAGAACAGAAAAAAGATGAAGATCCTGATTTCAAAACTTAAAACTATAATAATCAAAATTGTGAGGTACTGACATAAACATGTAGATCAATGAGTAGAGTTGAGAGTCAAGAAATTCTTACATTTATGGTCAATTGGTTTTCAACAAGAGTCCCAAGATCAGTGGGGGAAAAAAAAAATCATAATTTCAACACATGGTGCTGCAACAGCTGGTGAGCCACATACAAAAGAATGAAGTTGGACCATACCTGACACTATATGCAAAAAATTGACTCAGAATGGATTATAGACCTAAATGTCAAAGCAACAAGTATAAAACACTTAAGGGGAAAACATAGGCATACATCTTTATGACTTTAGGTTAGGCAGTAGTTTCTTATACGCCCAAAGCACAACCACCGAAAGAAAAACATAGGTAAATTTGACTTCACCATAGTTAAACTTTGTGCATCGAAATACACTCTTGAAGGTGAAAAGACAACCCACAGAATAGGAGAAAATGTTTGCAAATCATGTGTCTGTTAAATGACTAGTGTCTTAACACATAAAGAACTCTTAATGAAAAGACAAAGGTTCCAATTTAAAAATTGGCAAAGGATTTGAATAGACATTTTTCTGAAGAAGATATATAGGGGGTCAAAAAGCATGTGAAAAGATGCTCAATGTCTTCAGAGAACTGCTAAAAAAAACCATAATAAGATGACACTAGGATGACAATAAAAAAGATGACAATAACAAGTGTTGGTAAGGATGTGGAGAAATTGGATCCTCATACATTGCTGGCAGGAGTATAAAAAGGTGCAACCATTTTGGGAAAGAGCTGGTCAGCTCCTCAGTAAGTTAACCAGGGTCACCATATGACTCAGCAGTTCCATTCCTAAGCATACATTGAAAAGAACTGAAAATATATGTCCATACAAGAACACTCATATGTTCAGAGCAGTATTATTCATAATAGCCCAAAAAGTGGAAACAACCCAAGTGTTCATCAGTTGATGATGGAAAAACAAAATGTGGGATATCCACACAAGGGAATATTGTTTGGTTATAAGAAAAAGAATGAAGTAACGATACATGCTACAACATGGAAGACTTTGAAAATTGTGTGCTAAGTGAAGGCCAGGAACGAAAGTTTGGGTGATATTCTATGATTCCATTTATAGGAAATGTCCCAAATAGGCAAACCATAGAGACAGAAAGGTTCGTTGCCAGGGCCTGGGTGGAGGAATAGAATAATTGTTACATGGTTTCTTTTTAGGGTGATGAAAATATTCTCGAATTAGATAGTGGTGATTGTTGCACAATCTTTTGAATATTCTAAAAACCACTCATTTATACACTAAAAAAATTATTTTTGGTTTCTTCTGGCCTTCCCCAGTATTCTTGCCTAATGAAGATCCAGAACTGAGTGATTCAGTAGAGCCATCCATTTTAGCTTTGCCAGGTCTTGGTGGGAGGCGAAGAGTCTCTATCTCTGTGACAGGTGTACCAGAGGGTGAGGGGGGACACGTGGATATGACATTTTACAAGCTTGATTGACAAAACATTTCCGCTCCTTCACAGAACAGTTGCTCTCAGACTTCTGGTCATTTGGGGTCCCTTTATTATTTTTTTTGCCTTAATTCCCATGATGTTTGTGTGTTGTGTCTTGCAGTGCCGATGGGGAAGTGAAGCACTGTGTGATCTACAGCACGGCCCGGGGCTATGGCTTTGCAGAGCCCTACAATCTGTACAGCTCACTGAAGGAGCTGGTGCTGCATTACCAGCAGACGTCCCTCGTCCAGCACAACGACTCCCTCAATGTCAGGCTGGCCTACCCTGTCCATGCACAGATGCCCTCGTTCTGCAGATAAAGAGGGAGTGGGAAGAGAGGTGACTCTCTAGCATTTTTTTCTACAGTTTTTATTAGACTATGAGGGCATTCTTTCTACGTAGACTGCTTGTTTTGCACAAGAAGTGATTCTGTGAATGTGAAGTGGAGAGGCCAAGCAGCAGCCGGCCAGGACGGAGGCATGAGGGGCCTGAGGTTCTCTGGGACTCCCTGTGCCGCTGCACTGGTGTAGGAAGCTGGAAGCAGATGTTGTTTTTTGGGAAGTCTGTTTCATTGGGGTTTTTGTTTTGTTTAGCCAGGCACCCTCAACAGAACACATTAGGCTTGGGTTGGGGGCGGGGGGTGTTGTATCTGGAAACTTTTGAAGAGTCCATGCCTTCAACTCTGAGAATGTGGCAGGGGCATGGCTCTGTGGGGAGTTCTCTTTTGATCTGGCAGTCACTTTTAACTTCCTCCCAAAGAGAAGGTGGTTTTGTGGTAGAATGGCATTTGGTGAAAAAGACAACCAAAGGAAAACCGGGAGGCTTGGGATTTCATCTATGGACTCTCAGTCAAGGGGGTAAAAAACCTTCAACTGAAGGTACTGTATTTCTTAACCAACGTAACAGGCATCGGCATCTCATAGCTCCTCCCCCTAAAGAAGCATTGTTTAGAAATCAAATTGATCCCAGCAAAACAATGTTTGTTACAGGTCTAAAGTCTGATGGAAGAAGGCAGTGCTTGTGTCTGAATGCACACTTCTGTACCAAAACTTGAAAGTAAAAGGAAAACTAGAATTTCTTAGTTTTAGCAAACACTAAAATTAAAATTGGTCAGTGTAACTCCTCTGCCCTGCCCTTGTTTCTCAGAGATGAGAAATAGTGTTCTTTTGTGGGCATGGTAAGCTTTGAATCATAAAATGAAGTTGGTGCTTGTGTGGTGTTTCTTTAGCCTAAAGAATGGTCTGTTGTTTGAAACCTTTGTAACTTGTTTGTATGAGTAAAGAAAAGGTGCAATCCAGTGCTTTTAGATGGCTTGATATACCAAATAATGATATAGGACAACGTTCTTACATGTGCTTCCCCAGTGGACATGGTTTAATTACTCATCTCCTGGGAAGGGCTTAGGGGAGTGTCATACATAGGTTGCTAAGGCTGTGGTAGGAAGGAAGCCAGATTGTGGTCAGGGACCTCAGTAAATCACAGACCTAGATGCTCTGGTGTCCAGGGCAGGGGTCATACCACATTACCCATACGCTTCCATACAGTGGTTTCTGAAACTTTTGTAAGGAGAGGAAAGGATGGTTTGGAGTTTAGACTGTTAGTAGAAACCATCTGGAAGCTTTTTCTCTTTGCCTTTTTTGTGATCCTGCCATTAAGATGATGTGCACAGACTGTCCTGATTTTAGGCCAGGATCTTCTGCTCCATGTGGTTTAAGCCTTCCAGCTGAGTGAAGCTAGACGGATGGAGTTAGAGGTAGGCATATCCTACTTCCATTATGCCCCATCCCCATCAGTCAACATTCATTTGACAAATAGAGTTCAGCTGCTTCTGAGCCAATTCTGGAACCATAATAGGCTCAAAGTGAGTCAGCTGTTTGAACCCCAAGCTGTGCAGTCAGGCGTCCTGGTTGAGCTAAACATGAAGCCAATATCTAGGTCTTGATACATAAAGCTTAGGAGAGCTCTAGTTTGGGGGATAAAGAAACAAATACTGTTTTTCCTGAGCACTTACCTTGGTGACAGGGCCTAGAATGGACCATGGCATAGAAATTAGAGAGATAAAAAGTTTTGGAAAAACCTTCAGAGTTACTAACAATGAGGATGGGAAGGAAAGATCACATCTTTGGCTCTTGCTTGGTTATGTTGCAGTTTCAGGATTGTGTGAGGCAGACAAATGACCACCCCAACCCCCATTTCCCTTCAGTGTCACTGTTCTGACTTAAACCCTTAACTGATAGTCAGCGAGCTGCACATTCATTCCCCAAATTTCCAGAGTGAAATCTTGCTGGAAGTTTTACTGAATGTCAGGCTAGTTGCTGCTGGGCACACCTGAATAGCCTGAATAGCCTTGTTGTTGAACTTGCTTAATGCAGTTAGATGCTCAAGATTGGGTGCAAGGAATCCCTCCTTTCTGGTACTAAAATTTAGTGCTTTGAATGTCTTAAATGAAAATGGGAATAAGGACACAACGTTGAACTGTGTGTTGCTCCTTGTCAGGTAGACATTAAGGGTGTGCTGGGAGAGAGCACCATCCATTAACTACACTTGGGCTGGCTTGTGGAGAAGGGCTGCTCTTTTTTTCAGTCCTACATTCCTTCATTTTTTGTTTTTCCTGTTTTTCATTCTTGAATTTGTTGCTTTGTGGGGACTAGACCTAGGGATCATTTGGAAAGTTGAAAAGTGAGTAGTTGCCACAATTTGCTTGATCCTGAGTCAGTGGAAATGGCATAGGGACTATGCCATTTCCAGTCTACTAGCTAGTTGGAAGGGTAATATGCTGCTCCTAACTCCATGGTGTTGGCAGCAAGTCATGGCTTCCATCCGAGTCTAGTTCTGTGTTCTGTCCCATGACCTGGGCCCTGAGATTCTCGCTCATGACATCTTAACTGCAGCCTCACTGAGGCAGAGGGTAAAGAGAACAAGACCAGAGGGGCTCATTGTTTTCCTGGCTAGAGCAACCAGCTACCAACATGGAAGCAACTTGGGGCTGGCTGGGCACAGGCTGTAGGCCTGTCTATACCAGGTGGAGCTTTCATCACAGAACAGTACTGTCTTCACCTGGCTGTAGATGCTAAACCTTGGCCATGGCTCAGGCCGGTTCAGGGTAGCTGTGTCCTTAGCACTGATTTGGCCAAGGCTGAGGACTCTCAGTAACTCTTTTACCCCATCTCATCTCCAAGCCCTGATGGGACCTTCCACTTATTTTGGGCCTCATGTGCTCTGAAGAAGCCTTTTTGACAGCCAATGTTGTGTCTTCCATGGGTCTCCTCTTCTTGCTGCAAAGGAACCAGCCTTCTGGGTCCCCTTGGGCCAACAATTGGATCTGGGTAATTCCTGGTTTTCAAGGTGGTCTCTGTTGCCAGACTCCAGAGTAGTCCTCTGTGAGGTTTTAGTGGCCTCAGAGGGTCCAGATTGAGGTCTGGCTGGGCCCTCTGCAGTCGGCTGCTCAGCCTTGCTCCAGATCCAACCACTTGTGACAACCTTGTTTCCTTACAAACTACAGCATGTGACTTTGGTGCCCTATTGTTACTTGTGAAAAATCTATTCTGTTGTCTTTGATGTAGTCAAAAAATTTCATGTAGTTTACGTAAAAATATCTGATTCACAAGGAAGCCAATTATATGTCGTGTTGGGACTTCATAATATAGTTCCTAGACCACTTTTGCAAATTGTTCTTGTCACCAGATGTGTTCAGACATTGCTGTGCAGTTGTAGGGGAGGGTGGGGGGAAGGTGGGGGAGATACTTTTTGGTCTTTTTTGTTTTTTACCTTCCCCAGGAGGGGACAGTCTGGCCAACTTCTCCAGTATGCAATAAAGACATTGCAATAAAGTGTCTTTTTGTCCTTATGCTATGAGGGGGATGGGCTGGGGGCTGGGAGAAAGGGAGGGAGGACTGGGGTGTCGAAAAGCTCTGAAACTTCCAAGCTGCCTCTCCTGTGAGCACTGGTTGGTCCCGGGGCCGAGCTGGGGCCACCAGAGGCTCTCTTCTATCCCTGAAGAGAAAGGTCAACCCTAACAGGTCTGATACCAGAATCCTGTCTGCCCAACCAGGACACAGGGAGACTCAGAAACTTTTCCTTGAGAAAGTTAAATCTGAGAGCCACTTCCTCCTCACCCCATTCCTAATAGAAAGCCCAGTTTATTGATTCTCATCACATCCTTTCTGCCTGGAAATGTTTCCACATTTTATTCTGGAGGCACGGGAAATCGGCTGTTGTACAGTTTGTTCTCTTGTTGCCCTGGGCCCTTGTCACCTCCTGCCATGGCACTTTGAGGTTCCTATGTGCTTGGAACATAATCAACAAACAACTGATGACCTCTGCTTGCACAGAACATTGCAGTTCTCATCAGCCGCTCAGGCCCACATGTGTACTGAATTACAAATCACATCGCGTAGGGGAATAGCCTTACTGTTCTAAACAACCTTGCCTGTGACCCTCTTCCTCACTCACTACACTTGAGCTACATAACATCCCCCAGGCCACTGCTAGGAGAGTTGCTCCCACTCTACATGGAACACTCAAATTCCATCTTCAGTCCCACCTGCTGGCTAGGTATCTCCACTGGAGCCTTCGGCATCACACAGGCACTGCGAACTTTTTGTTTACAGAGAAAACATGCTTGGTTATGAACACCCTTAATCTGACCACCAAACCTACAAACCTATCTATAGCCCCAAAACTACTCATTCCCACCTATTAAATTACAAAAGGTAGCTAGTCCTCTTCGAACTGAAAGCCAACCTCTCCCTATGTATTTTGGATTTTATTTTCTTCTACCTTCTCAGGAGTCTCTTATTATCAATTTTTTCACTATTGTTTTCTCTCAACGGAGATTGATTTGACATTTGAACCCAGTTGAGTATTTGGCCTTTATTGGCTGATGCAATTGGAAAATCTGATTATGGGCCTCAAATATCCTAAGTACCGTGTGTCTCTCCGTTTATGCTGTGCCAGCTCCTGCTTTGGCTTCATTCTGTGCCTAGGTTCTCTCCTCCAGGTAGACAAATGGCCTCCACCAGTGCCAAGTGCATACATATACTCTGGCAATTCCACTGAGAGGTCTTTTTAGGGGCTGACTGTTGCTCGTTTCATGTATCCATAGTGAATACAGCTCAGTACCCATGATAAGAGGCCTTGATAGGCTCGGCCTAAACTGTGCCCTGTGGTGAGACAGGACTTGGCATTGACTGCTCCACAAGGACGACCTAAAGTAAAGAGGGGCACTTTTTAAAGCAAACAATGACGACTAAGTTTAAAATAGCAAAAAGTGAATTTTCAGTCAAAAACATAATAGTGTCACAATCCTAATTGTCAGTGTTCCATTTTAAAAACACTGCGTACTTATTCTTCCATCAATTTAATGAAATAAGGTATTTTAAAAAACCCCAAAGCATCTCTCCACTTTCTCAGTCCTACATCCTTTTTCTTAACTCTTTTCTCCTCTTCAAAGGCAAACTTTCTGGGGGGAAAGATAACCTCTAAATTTGTCTTTATTGCCTCACCTCCTCCTAACCCTGTTCTCCCTACCTTTTCCCACTCCCTAAGGGGGCAGTTCCTCCCTCTCATGAACTGTTGCAACATGTATCTGCCCCAGCCCCTTCACCTGTTGCTTCTAACCAGCTCCTGATTGATATACATGGGGGTGGGCTTCCCCAGGCAACCAGTTACCTGTATTCCCAGCGTCCAGTACAAGAGTTGGCTGTCAATGAACTAAAGGGGGAAGTGAGTTCAAGAGGGGACCAGCAGACTGAGGGACCAGACGTCCCACTCGTGGGCTGTCATGGGCAGGGTGCGCCCTCTGGTGGCCACAGACTTTGCCGTGTGGGGTGACGAGCAGCAGGGTGCTTAAGGCACCCAACCAGTGACCCAGAGATATTTTCCAGTTTCCAAGCCTTTTGGCACCTCTCTTTCGGACCTAGGCATTCGGTTATGGGACAGTTAAGTGCAAGACAACAGTTTTACAAGTCCGTCACCTGGAGGCACTCCACCAGCCCTCCTCCCATCTCCGGACTCCTCCCACACGACATCCCACAGGCGTCCTCACTCACCCTTCAACACACACCACCCGGTGCAGTTCTACTCTACGGGCTGCCTAGCTCAGCAATGTCCATCTCCACTGCAGAGGCCTTCCTGACAATAGCCCAGGAAGGGCTCCTTGGTAATAAAAGTGTTAATGACATTACTAAACACTGAAGGCAGTTAATTTCATCTTACCTGGCCTCCAGCATTTTACCAAGTAACTTGGCCCATTTTAAAGCTCTTTTCTCTCTTGGATTTTATGACTCTCTTCTGGCTGCTGCATCTAAGTCTTTGCCTTACATGCCTGTGCACCTCAGTGCATCACTATTGCTACATTGGTGGCTCACAATTTTCTATCAGTCTAGATTTCTTTTACTGAGTTCCAGAGCTGTTCATCCAGTTAGTTTCTGGATGTTCCCCAAGTACCAAGTTCAACTGTGCACTTCCCTCCACCTTTCCCCTACATGTTCTGGCTAAGAGGCATTCCAATTTGGGAGAGTTGAGACCTAGCTTCTATCCTTGCTCTGCCCAAGCTATATGATCTTAATATCTGAAAACCTGAGTTCCCTTATCCACATAAAGCAGGATTATTAGTTGTTCCCTGGCCTTCTTGGATTTCCCATTACCTACTGAAAGTCTAAATCCCTGGAAGACCACTATGACCCTTGCCTAACTCACTAGACCCATTTCCACTTTGAATTATTTTTGGTTCCTTGCATATACCAAGAATACGGCTAAGTGTTACACTTTCTGCCCGGACATTATTCTTAACACTAATTCCTACTCTTCTAACCGAGCACACCACTAGCGTATCACTTACCCTTCAGGTTTGAGCTCAGAAGTCATCAATTTCTGGGAAGCCAAGCTGGTTTAGATGCCCCTCCCTCAACAATGGAAACTGTCTTATTTACTGTGTTATTAGCAGCAACATAGGACCTTGTGTTACATTTGTGTTGACTAAAGGAAAGCAGCAAGCAAAAGACAAAGATGGTTTCCAAGAGCATGTATTACACAGGTCTGAGTGCAAGAAATGCCAGACAACTGCTATGTTTGCTTTAAAAGCTCATCTGGTGCCAATGCCAAGTCCTGATGCTTTGGAGGGCCTCCTGGGTCTCGGCCTCTCCAGAGCAGGCTGGGCCCAGGCTCCTGGGTGAGGGGGCAACTTTTGCATGGAACGTTCTGCCTCCTGTCACCTGAGGCATCAGGCACTTTGGTGATGTCCAGCGCTGGCTCCTCTTTCTCTGTTTGTGAACACTCAGCCTCCCATAGCCAGCTTTGGCTGGAAAGCTCATAAGGTTGTTGGGCCAGCGCAGGGGCATTGGGTGGCCATGACTTCCCCTCCAGCCTAGAAGACAGGTTCTCAGGGTGGGCTGGAGTTGTGGCTTCCAAATCCTGGGAGCTGACCAGCCCACCTTCCATTGTTGCCTTTCTGCTTGAGGATGCCCCCGCTGAGCCCTCAGTAAGAAATTTCCAGGACCACGGGCCTGGCTCTCCTGAGGTGGAGCCGGCAGTGGGGCCGCTGGTGGGGGTGCGTCCCGACGAGCTGGGACAAAGTGCTCTTAGTGCCTGGGTGTGGAGGGGCTGAGCCTTCAAGCAGCCTTCAGGGGGGATGGGGTCAGTGGGTCCAGCCCTACCCAGGCTGGGCGCTAGTGACAAGGAGCTGGCTGCCTCCTCAAAGACTTGTGGGATGCCAGGTCTCTGGGGGAC